GTATTGTTTGACAGGTATATTTGTGTTGCACACCACGCAGAGAACAAGGTCACACATACAGACATGCAAGGAGCATCAGAATGAAAGGGGCGCGTAAACTGTACGGCAGCTAGCAGAGGAAGTTTCTTGCACCTCGACAATAGTCAGGAAGCAGACTCCAACAGCTAGTTGACGTTTCTATTCCGGGACTCGAACTGTGACCACTCCACAATCCAAGTATGGTCTCACAAACTAAAACCTTGTCAAATGAATGACATTTTACAATGTGATTGTCACATTGACAGATGGTTTGAGAGATAGGAAGGAATGACATCATTTTTCATATGTACTGTGCATTGTACAAGCCTGCACTTACAACAAGATGGTGAACAATTAATGGAGCCCGCCAAGCTGCTAGAAGAACAAATTTCATGTCAACGTCAAGTCAACCCCGGCGCGGTGCTCGACTGGTTAGCGTGTTGGCCTCACAGTACAGAGGTGCGGGGTTCGATTCCGGCTCCGGCCTTCCTGTGTGGAGTTTGCATGTTCTCCCCGTCCCTGCATGGGTTTTCTCCGGGTACTCCGGTTTCCTCCCACATTCCAAAAACATGTGTGGCAGGTTGATTGGGCACTCCAAATTGTCCCTCGGTGTGAATGTGAGTGCAGATGGTTATTCGTCTATGTGTGCCCTGTGATTGGCTGGCAACCAGTTCAGGGTGTGCCCCCGCTACTCCCTGAAGACAGCTGGGATTGGCTCCAGCACGCCCACAACCCTCGTGAGGATAAGCGGTATGGATCATGGTTGGATGGATCGTCAGTTGGACCTCTGCTGTCTTACCTATGCGGCCCATCCGTGTCAATCTGAAAAATGTTCACGGCCCTCGTGGTGGCACTGGCGGCTAAGGATCACTGCTTTTGAGCATATGAATCCAACAAATGGGCACCAATTACAAGAATTGCAAGATATGAAGTGTTTGCTACAGGAGAAATGGGTGTCATCTGTTTCTGACTCTGTATCGTTGGCTTCTGTCAGGTTGCCCAAGTTGGAATCTAACTTTGAGATTACTGGTGTTTGCTGTGAAGGATGTTTTTGCCCAATCTGGTTGAAAGCATTTAGTAAAGGACCTGCACCACCAATGGACCACCCAAGGCTACAACGAGAGGCTATCAGGCCAGCGGTCTGATTGAAAGTTATAATTGTGTCATGTAGCTGTGGCTTTAAACTGGCGGCTGGTGCTCAAATCACGGGGAACCATTGGTGCTTGTCAAAGATCCCTTTTCATAGACGGCTGCGATGAATAGATGTGTGTATTAAAGTGGGCATCTGTGCTTGTGCGTGTGTGTGTGTGCGTGTGCGTGTTTTCCACTGCGGAATAAATACGTCTGTTGTCTTTGCCGTTGATCTAAAGCTAAATGAGTGCTGCCCTCTTCATATGTGAAGCAGCAATTTAGCCTTTCTTCTTTTGTGTGCTCTCTATCTTCTACTGTGGCTGCCTGAAACTAGAGACCCCTGATAAATGAGCATTATTATTCGCTAATCCCAGGCACCCAAATGCCACACAGTCACGATGCAATAATTGTGTTCGATGTTTTTACTCTTAAATGCTGAGCAGACAGGCATGATGTGGATAATAGCTGTGTTTTCTAAAATGCATAACAGCGCTTCACACCTCGCTCACTTGGATGAATTCCTCATTTTACAACAGTGGGTGCATAGTATTGTTATTTGATGACCATTCTTTGTCTGCCAGAATCACACCATTTAGAAATACCACCTCATTTTTGGACTCATCTTAGAATGAAATATTCATTAGTTTAAATGATTCTATATTGACACTCTCTATAGAGACACATAAATCAACCTAATTGAGGAAGTGAAAATGGCACTCATAGTTTGACACGATGAACTCAGCAGAGGTCCAAGGGCTGCATTGAGTTTGTCTGAGCCGTACCTTATGAATCATCTCCGAAGGAGCTCGGCCACGTTTTAACTCAACCCTTTAGATTCCACACAATGTACAAAATGTGGAGTGTGGGTGTAGTGCGAGAGTGCATGTGTGCTCTTGATGACCTCTGTAGGTCACAATGCTGACAACGTGCTACCCCGGCAGATTCTGCGATGGATGCTGTCCAGACCTCTGCATGCTCACGGTTATATATTACTGCAGCTTCCCACACACTCTCCTGCTCACAGAAGCTATAAAGGCGCAGACTTGTTTTGTCTTAAACAAAAACAAAACATTGCATACTTTTAGACAAAATATTCTAGGCATAGTTACGGTTTGACTGAATTTCTTCTCTCCATCCATTATCTGTACTGCTTTTCCTTAGTGAGGTCATGAATATGCTGCAGCCTCTCTCTCCCAGCTGGCTTTGGGCGAAAGGCAAGTTACACAGTGCTATGATTTTTCCAAAATGGTACAAAAATGTAATGATTAAAAAAAAAAAAAAAAGAAAATCTTCAGCTACAGTGTCATTTAACCTGAAGTTATGACCTCTCATGCGATCCAACAATGCATATTCGAGGAACAGAGTGAAATTAAGATCAACGAAAGCTTAAATGATCTTGTAGACCATAATCAAACCGAACACAATGCAACAGTGAGTTAGGTATTAAAGGTTGACTTTAGGCTAGGCATTTGTTAAATGAGTGCTTAGAAAAGCCAGGCAATCTATGCATAAGTAGATGTTGCTTGCTCATTTAATTCTATACTGTATTCCAATTCACAAAAGGAGCCCATACTTAGGTCGCGCAATATGTTCATTCTGACAAAACAACACCTTTTTGTCACTTCACCCAGAACTCAAAGGTATGGCTCTGTAAATTGGCAAAAACAAGATTAACCTTTGAACACCTTTTTTTTTTTCACAGTTGCTGAACAGTGGTAGGAAAATTTTACGTTTCAGAAAAACCTATCCCCAAGTAACAGACCTCATTACCAGCGACTGTAATGCCACTTGTTTCAAAATCCCCCTTCGGGTTAGCAAAACTGTAATGCACTACAAAAAAAAAAAAAAAAAATGTGTGTTCAAAGATTAACGATAAACTGCATCGCAAGTCTAACTGAATGAAATCAGTGTCAGAATCAAAATGACTAAATTTGCCATAAAGTTTGGCAACATCTGAAACAAGCTGAGCACAAACACATTTCCATACTGAAACTATTACATTGATGTAATAAATGAAAACCATAGAGCCAAGCACGGACCCTTGAGGTACACCGGATGTCACCTCATATAGTTCGTCTTTGGGCAGTAGGCGGGGTATACCGTGAACTGGTCGCCAGCCAATTGCAGCACACACATAGACAAACAACCATCTGCACTCACAATCACACTCAGGGACAATTTGGAGCATTCACTCAACCTGCAATGCATATTTTTGGAATGCGGGAGGAAACTGGAGTACCCGGAGAAAATCCACGCAGGAACGGTTGAGAACATGCAAACGCCATGTAGGAAGGCCAGGGATCGGAATAGGACCCACGATCTCTGCACTGTGAGGCGGAGGTGCAAAGCAGTCATCCAAGTGCCGCCGAATTAAATATGCAATCACATAAATGTGCAGGTCTCTTTGCTCGATCTATTGCTGCGTAAAGCCGCAGAGTCAGATCTGCGCATGTGTTAGCTTCCTTATGTACGTGTATCTGCGTGTGGTGTGCACTTTTGAGGTTCAGTGCAAACATTTTACTCCTCCAGGCTGGACATGGCCGCTTTGTTTGCGCGTGTGTCCTCAAGCATGACAGTGTTGGTGTGCGTGGGTGATGCTTGTTGTGATCCAGGCATTTAATATGCATATGTGTGGGCAGGTGTGAGTTGGTTCACGTGAAGCATAAAAGGAGGAGGTTTGAGCAGCTCACTGCGGGGTGTAGAGGTCAGTCAGCCTGAGTTGCTCATCATTACAGAAACGTTGCAGCTCTCTCTGCACTACACCAACCTGCTTTGTGCAGCCTTCGAGCTGTCGTTCTATTTTCATTTTGAATGACTTTGGGGTGGAATAAATACATTGCAACCATGCCAAAGGAGTGATGTGTTATTGAGTTACAATAGACACAGGTTTTATTAGGTTTCTCTTGTTGGTTTATTTTCACTTGAGCCCAGCTTGATTAAAGCCGAGTATCCGGCATGGCTGACAGCATGTATGTAAAGAGATGGAAGTTGGAAAAGGATTTGAATCAGATTAGAAATTACTCCAATCGAACATCTAAATCAAGTCAACTCCAAATATTGGATATTGTTGGAATAAATACCTGGCTGAAAGTGACAGATAACTATCAGTTATTTTCAGGAGCCAGGAAGGCATGATTCTCCTTG